TCGCAGTATCGCGCTGTCCGTAGAACAAATGAAGACTAAAGCGGAGTGTCGCGCTCTGTATACGATTTTAGCGCCTTACAAGTGCGGACACTTTTTAGCGCGGACCCGACGTCCATATAATTGTAAGTCAATGGCTTACATTAGAGATGAGATATACCTGCCATTCTCCATACCCGGCCTTTAAAGTATGGGTATCACTAAATACCTGGTACAAATACCAGGTATCAAAATACTTCTAAGTATTTGGGTGTGGTAGGATTTCGATAAGTAAACGTATGCGATAAGTAAGTATGGTATGCCTCCAATATAGTGTAGGTACGACGTTTCAAGTATACCCAATTAATAATTGGGTTAATTAGTAATTGCATAATTGGCAATTATGCATTATGAGATATGAAATCTTTCCTTCCTACTTTACCAGGCTTAGGACTGTCGGCTAAGAGTATGACGATGGTTATTAATGAATTCTAGTTAATCTAGTAAATCAAAACATTGTCGGCACGTAATAATATTCCCTAACATAAACAAACTAAGAAACTCTTTCACGTCGTGACAAAAAATGTAATTATGCAATTATGATCCTTAAGCACGTAAAAATAAGGTGCCCATTTTTTCTAACTAAATTAAATCATCCGAATGTTCATAAAGCACGAATGACGTTTCGGGTCCCTTCGTAAGCTGTCGGGTAGCTTCGCGTGGCTTCGGCGTACCGAACTACCGATACCGCACAAACTGGGCGCTACCTTACCTTGTGGTAGCGATTCGTGTCGTACTATGCGTCTGACGTCATACCTTCAAGGTATTTACCCAGTATTTCGGTCCGTACCCGGTCTGTGTACTGGGAAGCACATACTTGGTATATATACCTCTACCAGTATATACGTCTCATCTCTATACCAAACGCTGTGCTTTCCTAACCTATAAAACCTGTTTCCTATCATATAGTTTCGAATATTTCAATAATTTTTATTATCAAAACTACGAGTTTCCTAAAGCTAATATTTTAGGATTACACTGCTAACTATGTAATCTATTCACCATATTAATTTCAACTCTCAACTCGTGCGATGGTAATGTACAGTTGAGCCCATTGATGGCTCAGCTTCCGTTGTCAATACAAATTCGAAGTTGATGAGTCGAGGTGTGCTTGGTGTAGAAGCACCATGTACACACAAACCACCCGGAATTTGGTCGCGCATGAGGAGCTCTCTCATATATGTGCATACATGGACTTTCGAGTTTTCCTTATTTATGTTAAAACATACAACCATAAAATCAGTAAGGCAGGCATAAAGCATAAAATGCAAGTTATCTTTAAATATTTACAAGACTTTATATTCACATCAATATTCAGTCAGATTAAAAAAACCGCTAGTAACATTAAAATTGGCCATTTTTACAAAACTACCGTACATAGTCATTTTTATTTGACATTGTTGATGTCACCGATTATTACAATGAGGCCATAACATTTGAAAGAAGAAAGAACTTTAAAATCATTGAAACATTGTACTTACGAGTTCTTTTGCTCGTACTCCCTAATTTTTTCAAGGAAATGTTGCTGGATGTGATCGGAAGCATTCTGGGTCGACGCCAGGTTTCCGCTGACAACGTGGGGTCTGGTCAACCTCGGACCTCCAAAAAGAGACTTCGTGAGCATCATAATAAAAGAAATATAACCTCAAACAACAGTTACATCGCAACGCTGTAAATAGTGAAAGTTCCTACAAAACACAGTAATTACGGATTATGTAATAATTTTACTAAGAATTGTAATTTTTCTCACAAAATAAAATTCTTTATAAAATATATATATTTATATATTTTTTTAAATTATATATTTTTTTCTTCTAGAATTGGCTGTATCGAATCGAGACTGTTGACAGCGAACTTCAAAAGTGGCTATATTAGAAATATATTAATAACAGCTTAATAACCGTTACGTGCACCGATAACTTAATGATTTGTGTTTCAAATGGCAATAATGAAAAATTTTTTCCCGCCCTTTTAACTAATTTTCAAGAACTATCTCTCGCCATTTTCTGAACGCGTAAGACGTTTGTACACAATAAAATTTATTGTGTACAAAATAAATAGCCATAAAAAAGTTGATTCACAATGGACATTACCGATATAAACAAGGTTGCCAATCGCAAGAGAATGACTGCAGATGTTGAAAAGCTTCGGGAAAGGGTTTCTCGTGAGAATAAAAAAATTATCAAACTGAAGGTACCTGTTTGAGACTGTTTTCTATTTTTATTTTGCCTGTCTTATTTCATTATACACTAAGCAAATACCATTAAAGTTTTATATGTAATTTTAATGTAATACGTTCGCTAGGTGACCCAAGACACCGCTTATTGGGATTTAAAACAAAAGTTACGTGGAGTAGAGATCAACCATGCGAAGCTGCAGCAGAACATGCTGGAGGTACAGATGCAATACGAAACAGTTTCCGGGCAGTATCAAGAGGAATTGAGACAGAAGCCGGAAGTTTTGAATAAGTATAAATATTATATTTTTGCAATCATATACTCAGATACGTACTCAGGTACTAAAATATTTTTTTTACTAAACTTAAAAATACATGAAAAGAAGTATCGGTTATGCTACTTTGTTTCTTTCATCCCAGATTAGGCAGCACCCGCGAGATCTGCAACGTACTAGCAGAATATGGCGAACGCCTTCGGGAAACATTGTCTCGCTGTAAGGCGGACCAATCAGCTCTTTGCGAGTCTTACCAACAATCGGAACAAGTGGTCTGCAAAATGAAGACTCAGCAGCTACAGAACGAAGAGAAAAACAAGCAGGTTATTGAGAACCTGCAGGATAAACGTAAGTTTGCACTTAATTATTATGTATATATACTGAGATTCCCACGAAGCAAATGCATTTCTCTTATAATATGTTAATGAATATGTCTTAAATTGTGACTACATCGATGTTCAATATAAACTCCATAATAGGTGCAAGCTGTATAATAGTTTAGCTATTCAGTTTTATAATGTGCGAAGCGTTAAGCACTGTAATAAGGTAAATCGGGAAACAGCTGCCTAGGAGTTGATCAGAAGCCACACTGGCGAGATGCAGGTAACTGGGAGCCGTTTGCTTCACTCGCTGAAGTCTGGATCAGCTGATATGCTGTGCCCGAGTCGTACGATGAGTTGCATGAGGTGCACTGCTCATGTCGTCGAGGTAGTTTGATCATTGCGCACCATCTTAAACCTATATGTTGTTATTACATCTCGCCGTTTTTAGTGAAAATGACAACAGAACATCAGAGCCAGCTGGTGCAATACTTCACCACAGAGCAACAGCGTGTTGATGCCGAGTTAGTTGCAGTAAAAAATGAACTAGCATCTGTTCAGACCTCTAAAGAGCAGCTGATAGCTACAAATGCTGACCGTAATCGCCAACTAGACCAGTACCGCCAAGAACTAGAAGAGGTAAGGAAAATACTTTTTATCTAGGTTTTTAAGTACAACTATGCACAAGATCTGATGTCAATGCCAACCATTGTAGCTGGATCTATTTAACATAAGTATGTACCATGAATGTACTGACCTTATTCTGACAAATAAATAAATTGATTGTAACACAAAATTAGATGTAAGAAAATTGTGTGTTATTTCGAATTTAGAAAGAGGAAGCCGTGGCGCACCTTCGAAGAGATATTAAGCAATTGATTCACGACTACAACGGTCAAGCTGCTGAAATGAAATTGGAAATGTCACGGGTTGAAAAAGAGTAAGATACATTACTTGGCATGCGCGTAAAAATTTAAGTTATATAGCTTTAATTTTTGGTGTCTAATGCAGACTCAAAGAAGTAACTGCTAGTAACGACTCTCTAAAGACAGCTCTGAACAATCAAGAAACTTACATTCAGAGCATTTGTGAGGAAAACAATGCATTGCAAGAAAAACATGCAGCATTGGAGCAGGAACAAAAAACTACTGGAAACATTGTGAAGGAGCTTCGAGCTAATATTCAGGTTTCGTTTCCATATCTACTAGCTCTGCATTCCAAAGACACAGAGTGCGTATCTACCGTATTTTCGTTTTCAGGATGCGACCAAAGATAATGCCTCTTTAAAAGCCAAACTGGGAATTTCAATGAACCAGAACAAATGCTTAGAAAAAGAAATTATTAATAAAACCCAGGCAAGTATGCAAATACGACATGATGTTTTTTGGCAGTGCTGTGTAAAAATAATAAAACTTTTATTGTTGTAAATAAAGCTTCTAGTGGATGCAGAAAGGGATAAACAGGAATTGCTGTCCAAAATATCAATTATAGAAAAGGAAAACTGTGAAATAATAGCTGATTTGAACAAAGTCACAAATGAGGTGGAATCTCGAAATGTAAGAATTCAGGAGCTAACAATCGCTGATGGAGGACATAGAAAACAAATTGAAGCTGTAGAAGATGCTTTAAAAGTGTCAAGGTAAATATTTACAAAATTTAATGATCGAACCCTCCGTATGCCAATGTTAAACAATAGTAATTATTATTATTGTTATTTTTTCCTTCTCCCGCTTCATAGATAATGTACGCGTTTATCTTGTTCAATGATTTGGTACACAACCACGAAACCATAGCTCCTGTATGGTAGGTTCTAGACGAAGTGCCAGCTAAGTCAGCACAGCAATTACTGAGATCAGTGTCCTCGTCCTCCTGTTGTGTACTAAATATAATTTGATAATACAGTATAACCAATTTGTTTTTAACTGTATTTTGACAATATGTATTTGTGTTGCAAATAAATGATTTAATTAGAGATGCAGCCGGTGCTAAGATCACAGAACTGACAACAATCATCGAAACCAAAAATCAAGAGCTTGACTCCAAGGCATCTACAATTTCGCGTCTGACTACTGAAGTAATGACCGCTGTAGATGCTCGAGTTACGTTAGAAATTGCCCTGCAGAACACCAAAAGTGATAGAGACACACAGAGACGGTCAACTACGGAAAAAGAGCAAAAAATGACACAACAGATTAAAAGATTGGAAGTTGTTGTTAGAGTGAGTTATTTATAGATATTTAGAAGTATCCACGAGATTCTTTTTTTAATATAATGTTTTCATTCTAGACCAAGGATAACCACCTTTCGAAACACATGAATAGTATTATGGAACTCAGAAGCGACAAGGTGAACTATTGATTTATTGTATTTAATCGTTTGTATTGTATAAAAAACATAGCGAAAGACGGAACCAAACTTTACAACCAAATACAAAGTTACCATGAACCACATTAATGTTTCAAATTGACAGGAACATCTACAACACAAGATCAGAAACATGCAGAACAAAATTGACAACATTCAGAAGGAACTTACTAGACCATCAATCCAACCTGAATTAGAAGATAATGCTGTTATGTTGACTCCTTCTAACAGCAGGGTAGTACAGTAACATAAATATTTTCTTACAATATGTATGTGCCTAATCATGTCATTAGTTTTATAATATTTATAAAATAATCTTACATATACAGCGTAGCCCTGCACAAATGAACGAGCCTGATTTTCCAACACCACGCGTGGGTCTCAACAACGACAGTCTCTTGAATTTCCTCGGCGATGACAGTACGGATGGAGACAACTCTCTTGACGTAAATTTAATTTTATTGTATCCTCTTAGACTAAAAATGTCTTCATACAACTTTGCTCATGGCTCTTTCGGCTTACATTTTGCTGTAACTTGCGTTACTAGCCGTTGCCAATATTTGAAGTGTCTTGCTTACCGTCAAAGGGAATTTCCCGTCAACTATTTTATTTCAGGTTGAAGAAGTAAACCGAGTATTTGAGGCATTGGCACGTGAACACCGTGACAAGTCGCGCAGGTGTGCCAATACATCACGGTGGACTAAGCTCTAAACACCATTCCCAGCCAAAAAGGATGAGGTATGTTTATTTTTATGGTGCTAGCTTTCTTTATCTGAATTAGTATCAATTACATTGATTTGTATTTTTCCAGGACATGATTTCCTTATCTCAAGTAAAGAAATCCAGAAAGAACAAGACACGTTTATTCTTCAAATACAACAGCAACGAAACCTAAGTAAGAAAAATCTAAGAAGAATTAGATTACATTCAATCTTAAATAGTTACTTTGACTAATTATTTAGTTACCTATGTTAGAATTTAAAAAAAATGTTGATTCGCTAAAGTTTTGAAGGTTGATTAAACAGAATAATTTTTACAGTAAAAAGCTGTACTACCGAATACGTCTCTGACTTTTATTGGTTATTTTCACGTTATTTTGTATTTGTTTACTAACTATGAATGTTTGACAAGGATATCGCTATACTATTTTGTCTCCTTCTTAAAGCTCTTAACTACCTACCACAAAAGCCTTCTTCTAAGACAAAACGCGCCATGTTTTGAGCACGGACTTGTAATAAGTATATAAACCTTAGGAGGATGGACAGGCGTTTTCGTGCAGTTTGTATGACGGTTAACATTAAAATTTATAAACCTCCTTATGCTTTGATTACAAAATAAATAGACTGAAATTAGTGTGTGTGTGTGTGTGTGTGTGTGTGTGTGTGTTTCGTGCGTGCGTTTGTGCTTCTGAGGACGTGGTGTGAGTATAGTGTAAAAGGAAGTTAATTAATTATCGTAAATAAATCTCGTCTTTCTGTTTGGTGGTAGGTAATCGAGTTTCATTAGCCAAGACTCAATCGGACACTTCACCTCCTGCGTAGACATTGTCTTAATCTGGGGGAAATTTCGGCATACAAAGTTATAGATGTGTGGCAAAAGGAAAAGTGGAAGACGGAACGGAATTTTGAACGCACGCTCTCAATAAGCTGTTTAGCTTTGAGATTTTAATGTTGTGCTGTGAGTAATTGTCACAGCTTTAAGTATATACTAGCTGACGAACTCGCAAAACTTTGCACCCTTCGTAAAGTTTATCTTGCTATACTGAAAAGGTTTCTTGGTTTGCTCTGCCCGTTGAGTCTTTTCGAGTTCCATAAAATATCGCGCACCAGCCCAGACTTTGACACAGTATATAAGTAAAGTATGACATACAGCTATAATAAACTAAGAATAAGGTATTCCATTGAGTCGTGTGTCTGATACATTTAATTATAAATATAGTTTTCCTAATGCGCGCTGAGAGTTCAGCTATTTGACTTTTGTAACACAGATGGTCATCCTAAATGCTCCGAGATGAGAGAGCAACAAGAGAACAACAGCTAATTTAATATTACAAGCATCGTATAAAAGATGTAGGAACTTTTGTAAGGACTTTCTTAAAAAAGTTAAAAATAGTTACGATAAGAAGGAATTGGACAAAGAAAAAAACACACACACATTTTACAGACAGTAAAAAAGTTTGGAAATATATAAAAGATGTAACATATACATCGAAACAGCTTGAATCACTTTCAGGTTTATTGAAAGCCCAATCATCTGAGCTGACATCTGATAACAGCGCAAATGATTTTTTCGTCAACCCAGTTAAAAATCTGGCACAAAAAATTCAAACTTTGTCGTTTTCTCCACCACAAAACACTCAATCCACCTGTAGCAAGTCTCTGGGATCACTTGTACTATTAGATACGGATGAAAGTGAGGTTGAAGGAATAATTTTAAGCCTAAAAGACAATAGACATAAACCATGATAACATATCAATCAAAATACTTACTAAAACAATACAGGCACATCCTACTTTCACCGCTTACATTCATTTTGCAAATATCTCTAACAAAAGGAATATTTCCTATGTGTTTAAAAAAGCTGTTGTCCTGGTACATAAATCTGGTAACAAAGATCAAATAACGATTTATAAACCTATTTAATTACTGCCAGCAATATCTAAAATATTAGAAAAACTATAACTAATAGACTTGTATTGTATTTGGAGAAACAATTCATATTATCTAAAACACAGTTCGGTTTTAGACCCAAATTATCGACTGCTGACGCAGTGCATCACCTTACGGATTTTTTAGCAAAAAAACTTGACAAGGGTAACAAAACGAAGGGGATATTTCTGGACCTTGCGAAACTTGATACATTTTATATACCCATCCTATTGCAGAGGCTTGAATCCCTAGGTATAAGAGATATACAGCTAAAATTACTTGCAGATTATCTGGAGAACTGCTCCCAATGTGCCAAAATACTTAGGTGACGTTTTCAGTTCTGATCTCAAAAGTACTGCATATCAAATTCCCCAAGGAAGTATTTTAGGCCCCATTCTGTTTCTGATCGACATTAAAAACTTTTGTAATCTGGAATTAGGTGGTGGGAAGATCATAACCTATGCTGATGATACTGCTCTGCATTTTTCTGCTAACTCTGATAAGGAAGTCTATGAGTATGCTAAGCTAAACACGGATAAAACTAGTTTCATGCAATTCTTTATGCGAAAACCAAAGTCTGCTGTAACTAACACAAAACTATATGCTCACCATTGTAAGGAGATTACTAACAACCTGTGTAAGTGTCCAGACATTGCTATTACTAACAAGGTAAAGCATTTAGGTGTTATAATAGATGATAACTTCTCTTTTAAGCACAATATCGAAACATTAAGCGGCCGAACCCGTAAGCTAATGGATGTGTTTAAAAAACTACGCCCTGTTGCTGATTTTAAAATAATCAGGCAACTTTATTATGCCATATGTCAACCGATTATTACATATTACATTACATCTTGGGGTGGTATTGCTAAAACTTCATTACTAATCATTGAGAGAGCCCAGCGAGCGGTTCCAAAGGTTTCTACCTTCCGCCCTTTCATTTACCCCACTGACCTTCTCTATAAGTCGCGTAAGGTACTAACCGTAAGGCAATTCTCAAACAGCACGTTGCACTCCCATATAGTACTGAAATCACTAACAAAAGACGGAAAGATATTGTCTTCCCCAAAATTGTACCATCAAGACGTGACTATTTCCGGATTTCTTGTGTTTCTTGGTCCATGTACCTATATCATTTTTGTTACATAAACGTTAAGAAAATTCTACGATGATACAGAGAATTTATTAATTATCGCAAAATAAATGTAATCTAATTTAAGCGTATAGGTATATGATTTGCATTTTATTGATTAATTGCTTTTTTGTTTATAATTTAATCATATATCCACTTGCATAATTAGTTTTTACCTGAAATACAAGATTCTCCTAGTTCAGATACATGTGTTATAATTTACATTGATTCGCATAATTAGTCTTTAGTTATTCCTTTACACAATAAGTTATTCAATAAACAATTGTATTTTATTTATTTATGATAAAAAGAGTTGGACTAGAAAAGGAGGTATTTACCATTTCGAATCCAGCAGCAGCGGAATGCATATCTTTTTTCACATAATCTAGTCACGAAATAACCGGCGGCGGTTATCTTTTATAAGTCTTTCATTGAAGTATATTTTCGTCGGACCACACTTTATGTTTTTGGCTGATAAGCTTCGCCTGGACCTCGCAGAGCATTAACCAACTCATCATGCTTACGCCTTCTCATCAACATTTCTCAGTATAAAATATAATTTACGGCTTTTTATGGGTATTTTGTTACTGAGAAACGGCAATACGCCGATAATATACACTATTGTCACAAAAATATGCTACAATTAATTACAAAATTGTGATTGAAACCTTTAAAAAGTTGTTGATAGTATTAGAAGGTCCTTTATACGCCATTAGGTCCAAATTTACCTGGATCATTTTCCCAAAATGACATGTTTATTCCCTTTCGACATTCATCGTGATATTGACGGAATACTCTGAAACTCAAGCAACGAAAGTTAAGTGTGTGATAGACGTACGAGTAAATACGCGTACTTGTGTCTCGACGACCTTTTTCACTCGTGTGTCACCCTAAGTACGCAAATTTTAAAACTGCCGCGCAAGTCCATCAGCGATCAAACATGTTTGAAATCTTGCTCGTAGCCCCCGCCTCGGTTCGCATGTCTGTCAGCGTCGCGAGTCACGAGCCGCCATTTTGTTTCAAATGAAATAGCTTCTCTCATGCAGGTATCTTGTTTAGCTATTATAGGTGTAACTATTGCAAGAGTTCTTCGCACAACGACTCGGGCATTCTTAAATAATTACGAAAGTCTTCCTTTTCTTCACGTAACTCTCTTACTAAATTCACATGTGATAAATGCTCTCTTTTCGTAAGCTAGTTTTTCACCCACACTCGCCGATTTTGTCCTCTTTTTAGTTTTCAAAATGTGATATGATATTATTCCCAAATAACACAAGACCTCCGTGGACGACATCGCGTAACATTATAAGTTAATCTGTCGTGTGTCGCCGAGCGACGTTGAGCGAATAAAGTGGGTGATAGACGTACGAGGTTAAAAATCGCGGTTTTAAAGTTTGCGCTCTTACTCAGCTCGACGTCCGCGACACACAACAGATTAGCTTATAATGTTACGCGATGTCGTCCACGGAGGAGGTCTTGTTATTTGGGAATATCAAATCACATTTTGAAAACCAAAGAAGACAAAATCGGCGAGTGTGGGTGAAGAACTGGCTTACGAAAAGAGAGCATTTATTACATGTGAATTTAGTAAGAGAGTTACGTGAAGAAAAGGAAGACTTTCGTAATTATTTAAGAATGCCCGAGTCGTTGTATGAAGAACTCCTGCACTTAGTTACACATAGGGTCGTATTCCAAAACTCTACCCAATGCTCAAGTCCTGACTTTCCTGACTTGAGTATGATTTCAAGCACTAGAAATCATACTCAAGTCCTTGCCATTAGGGTCGTATTTACAGTGCTTGAAATTATACTCAAGTCTGCTCAAGTCAGGACTTGAGTATGATTTAAAGCACTACAAATCATACTCAAGTCCTTGCCGTTAGGGTCGTATTTCCAGTGCTTGAAATCATACTCAAGTTCTGACTAGAGCATTGAGTAGAATTCTGGAATACGACCCACAGACATAACGTTTTACTTACTTCGTTTCGTCTTTCAAGAAACGAAAGAAACTCCTCTCTTTATCCCGTTTAGATGATTATAAACAGCCGTACACAGCACATTTCACAAATTTCGTAATGAAAAAATGAAAACAATATTCAAACATCAAAGCCGTCTTAGCGCGAAGTCGGCTCGCCGACAGCCTTCAATGTGACCGTCAATGTGCGGGGCGTGGTGCGGTATCTAAAGCTAGGGAGGGGCGGAGAGTCTCCGTTCTCATTACTTGTTTGTTCTCTGGTAAAAGCTAAAGAATATAGCTTATTTTGCCATGACAGGTAGACGCAGGCGGTCAATGCGCGGCGGTAACGCGGTCTCCACTCGGTGACCGCGCAGGGTGAGCGCGATGAAATTTGTGTATATAAATGCGCGTGTGTGAATAAATGCGCCCTAAATAATTTGGTAGTACACACATGGTTCTAATACACAATACTAATTTAGAAAAAATCATATTAGAGTATTTCCATAGTATAATTAGACCAAGTAGGGCAACTATAACTCGGTAAATAATCAACCCTCAATATGAAAATCACTTTTAATTTGTGAAAACCGGTGGCTTTAAAGTTTATAAATAATATCGCACATTCAAAACAATACTGTCATTAAACGAAAATCTCGCTTTATCAAATCTAAACTTATTTTTTTGGCCAATTTATGATGTCTAATTTTTTCTTCCCATACAAAGAAATGACTCTTACAAGAAACTCAATCAGTTTACAGCTTACAAGAAAATTGAAAAGTTTTTAAGGACCACTCGCGCTTGACAAAAATTTACTATGTCAAATTTCTTTTCATAAATAAAGATCTAATGGTTCTTATGACAGTTTCCCTATATCTCTCATGGTTTAAGATTTCCCCTTAATGTCCCAGTTAAAAATTGTAGATTATAAAATGTAGTGTAATGTACGGGAATATTTTTAAAATACTATCAACCTCACAAGATTATATTGCCTATAACCAACACCTTTTGTATGTACCAAGACATTTTACAAAACAAAATTAATTTACCAAAAATAAACTTAAGTTTTTGATGCTATCGCATAATTTTTAGTTCTGTGTTTGAGTAATAAGTTCAAATGTGCAAGCAAGAGCCCTCAGAACAAGATAACTAAGTTATAGACCCACAATGTGAAAATATTTAATAAGGGTCCCGATAATTAAACGAAGACATGACTCAAAGGACTTGTATCCAAGCCAAAACTCTTAATATAAAAAAATATGTTTCATATTTACTAGTTTCAAATGGCAACAATGAAAAAAAAAAATCCCCGCCCTTTTAGCTAATTTTTCAATAACTTTCTCTCGCCATTTTCAGCACGTGTTTAAGTTGTTTTCCATAGTCTAAGGTTTAAATACACAATTACAATTTAAAGCCATAAAAAATTTGCTCCACAACGGATACTATCAATATATACAAGGTTGCCAAGTCGCAAGATAATGAGTGCAGCTTTTGAAAAACTTCGGGAAAAGGTTTAATAAACACGCGTGTAATAAAATTATCAAGCTGAAGATATTTGAGACTATTTTTATATTGCCTGTATTATTTTAAAATACACCAAGCAAGCACCATTAAAGTATTATATGTCCGCTAGATGGCCCAAGACACCGTTTATTGGGATTTAAAACAAAAGGTGCGTGGACTGGAGACCGACCATGCGAAGATGCAGCAGAACATGCTGGAGTTACAGGTGCGGCAGTATCAAGAGGAATTGAGTCACAAGCCGGACGTTTTGAATAAGTATAACTGTTATATTTTTGCAATCATATTCACGGGGTCTACTGTCGATCACCATCCGACATCCGTCCGAAACAATTACTGCCAAATAAGCAATACTTGACCAAATGAAGACGCGTGATGCGAATGAAGCTTCATACTTGACACTTGTCTTTTAATTTTGTCGAATATTACTTATTTGACAGTAATTGTTTCGGACGGATGTCGGACGGACACCGAGAGTAGACCCCCAGATACGTACAGTCAAGAGCATGTCAAGCTTGACACTTTGTACTTTGGACCGTTCTTATTGTAAGCGGCATAGAGTTGGATTTAAGTCTTAAGTGTCAAGGTTGACATGCTCTTGACCCGGTACTCAGGAACTTACTTGTAGTTATTATTTTTACTAAACTTAAAAAACATTAAACGATGTTTTGGGTGTGCTACTTTGTTTCTTTCCCTCCAGGTTAGGCAGTGTCCGTGAGATCTGCAATGCACTAATAGAATATACCGAACGCCTCAGGGAAACATTGTCTGGCTGTGAGGCCGACCAATCAGCTCTTTGCGAGGCTTACCAGCAATCGGGACAAATGGTCTGCGAAATGAAAACCCGGCAGCTACAGAACGAAGAGAAAAACAAGCAGGTTATTGAGAACCTGCAGGATAAACGTAAGTTTGCACTTAATTATTATGTGTGAACTCTTCGTGAATACTGGAGTTCTCATGGAAATGCATTTTTCTTATGTTAATAAATCTGTCTTTATCTTTGGCTAGATTCAATGTTCAAATTATACTCGATATATGGTGCAAGTTGTATACTAGTTAGGCTATTCAATTTTACAATGTGTGAGGCGTTAAGCACTGCAGTAAGTTAAATCGGGAAACAGCTGCCTAGGAGTTGATCATAAGCCACACTGGCGAGATGCAGGTAACTGGGAGCCTTTTGCTTCACTCACTGAAGTCTGGATCAGCTGATATGCTGTGCCCGAGTCGTACGATGAGGTGCACTGCTCATGTTGTCGAGGTAGTTTGATCATTGCGCACCATCTTAAACCTATATGTTATTATTACATCTCGCCGTTTTTAGTAAAAATGACAACAGAACATCAGAGCCAGCTGGTGCAATACTTCACCACAGAGCAACAGCGTGTTGATGCCGAGTTAGTTGCAGTAAAAAATGAACTTGCATCTGTTCAGACCTCTAAAGAGCAGCTGATAGCTACAAATGCTGACCGTAATCGCCAACTAGACCACTACCGCCAAGAACTAAAAGAGGTAAGAAAAATACTTTTTATCTAGGTCTTTAAGTATAACAATGCACAGGATTTGATGCCAATGCCAACCATTGTACGAACAGCGGGGTCTATTTAACATAAGTATGTACCATGTGTGTACTGGCCTTATTCTAACAAATAAATAAATGGATTGTAACACAAAATTATATGTAAGAAAATTGTGTTTTATTTTGAATTTAGAAAGAGGAAGCCGTGGCGCATCTTCGAAGACACAATAAGCGATTGATTCATGACTTCAACGTTCAAGCTGCTGAAATGAAATCAGAAATGTCCCGGGTTGAAAAAGAGTAAGATTAATATTTAGCTACATAAATTTTAGTTATTTTTTTTTTATTTATAACATACATAGCTTATAATAAGTTAAAAATACATAAAAAACCGTGTCGCTTAAACCTATTAAAGATTTTTCTGTACACCATTGCATATCATGTTGCCAATAATAAACACAAAAAAGGGTTAGGTAAGAAGATATTTCGCTCCCACCGACCCGACTGACCAGTCGCATTCGTCACTAGCATGATTAATTTTTTGTGTAAGTGTGTGTGATGAACCATTCTTTCTGTCGTTAATGTTATACTGTGTGTTTCATTTTCAAGATAGTAAATTAGTCTGTTTAAAAGTTAGTTAGCTAGTGTAAAAAAAAGTTAGGATTAGGATACTAGAGATAGAGATATATTTATTTGTACTTATTCTCTAACGTTAGTCTTAGTTAGTTATATTTGAAATTTATTTGATTATGACTCTTATTTGATTAAGGAGATATTATTTTAGTTTATCCTTTATGTCTTTGGGGTTAAGCTCGTCTTTTATTGCTTTAGGAAGATCATTAATAATTCGAAATGTATTTGTTTTGATGTTCCCCATACATATACAGTCCTCGGAATAGTTCGTTTTCGATTTGCAGCACTTCTTAATTGATTATTACGCTTGTTAGGCACTTGTAAATCCTTGCTAAAGAAATGTTCTGTAAGTAACATGTAATTTCTTCTTTCGTTTACGGGTAGGACTTTGCAGAACTTACACAACTCATAGTTATTTCTAAATTCCTTCTTAAATTTCTCAGGTACAATGGTTTTAAGAATTCTTAATTCATGTATGTCATGTCATTTGAGTTCATGTATGTCATACAAGTGAGACTTGCAGGTCCTCCCATAACTTCTAAGACCATACTGTATTATGGAATCGGCCAGTGCATTGTACAGTGACAATAAAGTACTATTATGGAATTTTATATTTAATTATCGAGAATGTCGCGAGTAAAGCCCTCAGCTTATCGCACACTTTGTTAATGTGGTTCACCCACTTCAACCGGCTGTCTATCACAAGGCCCAAGTAAGTATGGTAGTCAACCTGATCAATGTGGTCACAGTTACAGTTTTGGCCATTTAGGTCATTATGAAGACATTCATGACTGTGAGCAACAAGCTGAAGGTTACAAGACAATCTGTTTTGGCTGTATGATATGTAAATAAATTTTATTTTAGATGTGTTAAATACAAGGCTAGAATCGTGGGACCATTTTATTAGATTGGTAAAATCGTCCTGAAGGTGTTGAAGGGCAAAGTTAATATCTTTATTAGTTGTCATTAAGCAAGTGTCATCAGCAATTTGGTAAACTTGACAATGTTTAACAACATTCGTCACATTGTTGGCATAGGTCAAGTAATGCAAGGGCTCGATCACGGAGCCCTGAGCGGTACCATGCACTATGTTTTGCATAGTACTAAAGTTTTCACCCAATGCTACGCAATATCTCCTATCTTTGATGGAATCTTCATACCATTTTAGAACCGCCCGGCCCGCACGTATTCCACATTCGTCAAGTCTGACAATTAGGACACTATGCTTTAATATGTATGTATGTATAGAACGCTTTACTGTAATCTATAAAGACTACCAGGACATGATTTTTACTATGCAAGAAGCCATTGACGTCATCAGTAAATAGTGAAAGTAATTGAGACTTACTCTTATGTTCTTGAAAGCCATATTGGTATTTATTTAGTATATTATTATCTTTGTAGAAATTATGTATTTGTTTGCATATACAGGCTGTAAATTTGAAAGTGGGATTCCTGATTCTGAACCCAAAGAAATAATAAAGTAATAAACTTAAACTTTACAAAAAAATTAAAAAAAAAAACTATGCCGTGTTAGACTATGCATTGTGGAAAACGGTGGACATTTTGAACACTTGCTCCGTACCACGTAAGTGTAAATAAACTGTAAATAACTAAAACCCAATCATTGTAAATAATTTGATTTCACATTTTTAACTACGCCAAAAACCTCAATTCTTACTAATTGATAACTAGTTACTAAATCATAAACTTATCTTTTTTAGTACGTAAAACATTTCGATGATAGTTCAAGTAAAAAATAATTAACATAAGCTAAAACGTAAATGTAAAATCATTGTTATTATTGCTGTCTCACTCGGCGCTCGCTTGGTGGCATTCCCATTGCACTCGAAATGAAGCGTAAAGGTTAAATCGGTTTATTCCTATATACACTTCAAAACACATTTGTTGATTTATTTTTTGTTCTATCCCATATCCTAATTTTATCTTAGTCTGTGTGCGTGTGCGTGCGTGCGTGTGTGTGTGTGTGTGTGTGTGTGTGTGTGTGTGTGTGTGTGTGTG